CTCTCTCTCTCTCTCTCTCTCTCTCTCTCTCTCTCTTCTTTCTCTCTCTCTCTCTCTCTCTCTCTCTCTCCTCTCTCTCTCTCTCTCTCATGAATAAACAAGTGGGAAAGTGAGCAGTCAGGATTTACAAGCATACCTATGTTTATGTTACGTATGTGCTAACTGTAATGACGTGTAAGATAACATGAGGGCATTATATGATAAAATTGATGTAAGTATAACGTATAATTTGATTAATAATGGATGGAATCATATGAATGTTAGTAATGGCTATGTTAAAAGCAATGACAAACTTAGGTCATTGTAATCAAAGGATTGAACTAATTTATTCTCTCACACACACGTACATACACATTCATATATCTAAATTAACATATATTCATATTACATACATATACATGTGCATAAATATCTATATGCGTATGTATATGTATGTGTGTGTGTGCATGTATGTATGCGAACACAAACGCACACCTCTCTCTCTCTCTCTCTCTCACTCACTAAATCTCCATACATATTTATATATATTATATATATATATATATATATATATATATATATATATATATATATATATATATATATACATATATATATTAATATGTATGTATGTATATTTACACATATACAATGAATATATATATATATATGTATGTATGTATAAAGATGGCAACTGCGCCATTGCTAAGGCGGAGGAATTTCTAAATCTTTCTCCGAAGACCAACTCGAGGGAGTCCAAAGGCGCCTCACATCTGCAAGAAAAAAAGGAATCCATCTCTATATCTATCTATTTATCAATCTTCTATATCTATCTATCTATACATATATATACATATATATATAGAGAGAGAAAGAGAGAGAAAGAGAAAACTTATGTATACAAGTTCAGTTCATAGCACTAGTAAGAATATCCCGCAACTCAAGGAGAGGGAAAATCAGCGCTTGTGAGCCATTTATGTGTAGAGAGACTCACAAAACAAATCTACAGCGAATATTAAATTTCCCAGGCATACTGGCTACATACATACATATATATATATATATAATATTATTATATATATATATATATATATATATATATATATATTATATATATATATATATATATATAGTATATATACATCCACAGCAGATACGAAAACACACCTACCGCCTGCCCTCCCGTGAAGACTCACCGTCGGGGTCTTCTGCGCGCCCGCTGATCCCCGCCGCCTGTGTCTCCTCCAGCCATCAGGGCAGCGCCTCCTCCTCCCCTCCCGCGTGGGCGAGGCGTCCTTCGCAGGCTCGTCCTCCACGCCCTCCTGCGCCTCCGCCCGCGCCCCCCTCGCGTCCGGGCGGCCGGCGTCTGGCTCGGACGTCCGGTCGAACCCGCTGGGGAGGCCGCCCTCGAAGACGTGGATCTGCACCAGGTTCCTCGAGCGGGCGAAGCCGTTGACGCCCCGCGAGGGCACCCTGATCAGGACGTCGGGACCCGCCCTGTCCCCTCTCGACGCGGCGGAAGGGGCGGGGGCTGCCTCCTCCTCCCCCGGGGCGCGAGGGCGTCCTTCGGTCGTCTGGCGAAGGGGGGGAAGGACTGTCCCTCTGTCTGTCCCCTGCGTCCGGGCGTGAGGTCGTGCGGGCGCCGGGGTCGTCCTTCCCACCGGCGGGTCGAGCCACGGCGTCGTCCCGCCTCGGGCGCCTCGGATCGAGCGAGGACGTCGAGAGAGGACCAGTCGTAGGAACCGGAGTCGTCTTTGGGGCCGCCTTGGTTGAGTCGACTCCAGCTGCCTCGTCCGGGCTCCTCCAGTCTCCAGCGTAGAGGAAGGAGCCGCAGCAGGCGAGGAGGAAGGGAGGAGCGAAGAGCATCGAAGAAGGCATGATGATCGGAGACGAGAGGCAGACGGTGGAGGGTACTTCTTGCTTCGCTCTCTGTCGTCCCCTCTCTCTTCTCCCTCCTCTCTCTCTATCCTTCTCTGCCTCTCTCCCTCTTCTCCCCCTTTTCTCTATCTATCTATCTTTCTCTCTCTATATCTTCCTCTTTCTCTTCCCTCCTCTCTCTATCTGCCTCTTTCTCTTCCTCCTCTCTCTATCTCTTTACCTCCTCTCTCTATCTCTCTTCCTCCTCTCTCTATCTCTCTACCTCCTCTCTCTATCTCTCTTCCTCCTCTCTCTATCTCTCTTCCTCCTCTCTCTCTATCAATCTGCCTTTCTCTCTCTTTCCTCCTCTCTTCCTTTCTCTCTCTACGTCTCCCACACAAAGCACACAAACGCCTCCGCACAAAGCTATCTCGACCCTCTCCTTCCGACGTCGGAGAAGCTACTGAGCCACACGGAGGTCACTCAATGCCGAGGTGACGTGGCATGGATGACGTCATCAGCTGGTCATCTTGAGATCAAAGGCAAACATCGCACATCAAGGACGCAACATATGCTGCTGCTGCTGCTGCTGGGAGATCTCTTATTAAGCTCCAGTGTAAAGCGGATTTTTTTTTCTTTTTTTTTTTTTAAGGAAAATCAAAGGTCAGCATCACGGTTTAAGCATTTTGTCCAAGAAACCATGATAGCGTTTGTTTATAGTTAATTGAAAATTAAAACAATACAGATGAGTGTGTGCAAAAAAAATAATACACACACACACACAACACACACACACCACACACACACACACACACACACACACACACACAATATATATATATATAATATATATATATATATATTATATATATATATTAAAATCTAAAAGACACCATATGAATATACTAACGAGTAAAATCAAAGTAAGAAAAATGTAGAAAAGATTCTTTTTTTCACCGTAAAAGTGATAAAGAAAACCATACCCAGTGAAAGAAAATATGAAAAAGTGAAACCAATCTTATCAACAATAACTCAAGGCCCCCTCACCCCCCCCCAAAAAAAAAAAATGTCGAGTCATGGCGTGACTGTTTATTTTGTTATTGTTATTACAGCTGTTTTTCTTCCTCGGTCTCTGAAGATTCCCAAGCAGCGACCTTGCGAGAGCCATACCCACGCTTTTCTTTAGAAGAGAAATGAATCATCAACAGAGTGGCCCTAAACCGGTGCCTGAAGCGTGTGGTCTTTCTCCCCAAGTACACTCGCCGACCGTAAAAAGTGTACTTCCTCCGTCACCTCATCATGGGGTGTTTCTGGACGACGGCTCAGCCAAACTACGGCGGAGAACACACGCACGAACGTACTCTGATGAACAGTCGCAGTCGAAACTCTCATAAAAAAAAACATGTTTCGACTTCTGTTTCGAAGATCCGCTTCGTCCCATACGCCTTGCATGGGGTAGGACAGCTTCGAAGCTCCAATTCGTTAGATTTTCGACCGTAACTGAAGCCTCCACGGGTTCGGAACCAGGCGCCGGATTCTCAAAAGAGCCTTAAGTTAAAGTGTACTGGAGACCTTAACCGTCCTGCTGTATTTCCCTTGTTTAAGAGCGAAAAGAGCTGATTTCCCGCCCGCCGTAGACCGCTGAAGGCTGCCCTGCTGTATTTCCCTTGTTTAAGAGCGAAAAGAGCTGATTTCCCGCCCGCCGAAAAGCGCCAAAAGCTGCTCTCCCTTTTTCACCTAAGGCGCCTTCACTCGCTCCAATATGGCGGGTCCCTTGCTCTGTGCACGGTCGTAAGATCGCTCGGCCGTAAGTTACGACGCCTTAAGGAGATACGGCGCCTTAACGGGTTTGAGAATAACGCAATCGGGTTGTATCAAAATGATATATTTATTAGAAAGATAAATTGGCTATGAATAATAAAATCCTACTGTGGTAAATTCATTATTGTTACCGCCTCTTCTCCAACACAATACAAACAGTGTCGCGTCAGAGAAAAGTTGATATAGAATGATTCTTCACTGACAAAAGTTGCTAATATTCATTTAATTATCTCATGCATTTTGATACAACACAGTGACGAGGCTTTAACTACTAGAGGGTTCAGTCTCAGTCAAAAGTCTTTGAATGAATTGAAGCTTCGAAACTGTTTTACCCCATACAAAAAGTGTGGAATTGAGCGGATGTTCGAAGCGGAATTCGAAACATGTTTTTGTAAGAGTTTCGACTGCGACTGTTCATTAGCGTATGTTCGTGCGTGTGTTGTCTGTCGTAGCTTAGCTGAGCCGTCGTCTAGAAACACCCCGTGCCTCTCTCATGGGGTCGGGGAAGGCGGTATACTTTTTATGGCCGGCGAGTATACTTTGGGAGAAGGACCACGATTCAGGTACCGGTTTAGGGCCACTTTTTAGATGATTAATTGATCTTTCAAAGAAAAGCTTGGGGATGTCTCTCGCAAGGTCGTTGCTGGGAGATCTTCAAAGACCGAGGAATAAAAACAACAAAAATAACAAAAACAAAAGAAAGACCCCACGACTCATCGCAGGGTCGGTTGAGGTGGTATACTTTTTACGATCGGCGAGTGTACGTCAACCATGACACTCACAACAAGCAGAGACCCTTCTAAACGACGACCAAAAGGCCCGGGCCCACACTTTCACCACAGCCCAACAGAGAGAGAAAGACGCCCACAAACCTGCCGAGAGAGTAACCCAAAACCGGCTCATGAAAGGGGGTATCTTTCCTTTCCCAAAGAGACGGCCGCTTTTCCGTAGCAGCATTTCTGCCATTTTCTAAATATTTGGATGATAAAGAAAACGGATATGTTATAAAATTGAACCATACACTATCATAAATACATGAATATTACATTACAGTAAGAGTGCGTACGGTCAGATTCTGATGATTGTAGCATTACCTGCGTTGTGTTCATTACATTGCATGAAACAATATACAATAAATATATTAAGCTTATAATATAACAACATAAAATGCACCCTCTCCTCTTTATAGAGGAGGTGTAAATGTATTAGAGTATAACTTAAGAAAATGTTTATCAACTTATAAAACTTGATTGATCTAAAAAGTACACGACTATTCAGAGTGAGTGTGTTGCAGGAGTGAAGATGTAAACTCACTCTACGGAACTGTGGCTCTGCCTTTGGTGATCCCCAGCTGGAAGACCCAGCTGAAGTGACATCGGATGAAATTTCTGTCGCGATGACGTTCGTTCAGCCACATCATGTCAGTTCATACCACGTTGGCTTCAAGATCTTTAATGTTTGATATAATGTAACATGGGAAAATATATTAAATACTTTTCAATTGCATCAAACTATCTGTAGTCATAAAAAAATAGAAATAAAAATACAGCTTACAAAAAAAAAAAAAAAAAAAAATACGTGACGTCGCCATCCGTCGATTGTCTTTTATTTCCGTTTAGCAGACGAATTTCCGTAGAATTCCAGCCCTATTCCCGAACCTACACTTTCTCCCATCCGAGTGTCTTTCCACTTATTTCATCCACTTGTGTTATCGTCCCTGTGTATATGTCCTCTTCTTTCCTTTTGATTCTTACTCCTCTCTCTCTTTCTCTTCTTTCTTCTCTCTCTCTCTCTCTCTCTCTCTCTCTCTCTCTCTCTCTCTCTCTCTCTTCTATCTATCTAATCTATCTCTCTCTCTCTCTCTCTCTCTCTCTCTCTCTCTCTTCTCTCTCTCTCTCTCTCTCTCATCACACACACAACAACACACACACACACACACACACACACTCACTCTCTCATTCCTCCTTCTCGTTCTCTCTCTAATATGTGTGTTGTGTGTGTGTTCATATATACGATACATATAAATGATACATATCATAGTGATAATATTTTATTATTATTATCATTACAGATGTTTATCAATCATATACAATACGTACATAACCTGTTGTAAATCATATTCGAGGATATAGAAGCTCCAAGTAATATAGCTTTTAGGAGAAAAAAAAAAATATAGCAACATCTTCAAGTGGAGCTTTAAGTTGGTGATCCCATTAATATGATGATTTGGTTGACAATTAAGTTAATCCTGTTTCTGAAAGTATGTCTTTGTCCGAAGTATGTATATTGTAAGTGTGTGTAAGTGTGTGCATTGTGTCTATTGTTTGTGTATGTATTGTGTTTTTATTGTACGAGTATTATGTCTGATAAATTTGTATTGTGTTTAATGTATATGTATTGTGTTTTTTTTTAATGTGTATTGTGTTTATTGAATGTGTATTGTGTTTAATGTATGTGTATTGTGTTTATTGTTTGTATGGTGTGTTTATTATGTGTATATTATATTTATTCTATGTATAGTGTGCTTATTGCAAATATGTATAATGTGTTTATTGAAAATATGCATATTGCCTTCACTGGAGGTATGTATATTATGCTCATTGCTTATTATATCATTCAGCCCACAGATGGTCATAAAATTTTTAACGAATGTTTTTTATTTTTTTCTGTAAATGGAGATTCGTTATCCTCAATTTGGTTTCCCAGAAGCTAATGTTTTTTTCCTGTTGTTGTTTCGACATTGCATCCATTATCCGAGCATAGTTTTTGTCACGTCAAATTCTGGTGTCATGGCTGTGCTAGTCAATTTATATTCGAGCATAGTTTTTGGCGTCAAATTCTCGTGTCATTGAGCATAGTTTTTCACGGGAAAATCTCGAGCCATTGTTATGCCAAACTATATCTAAGCATAGTTTATTCACATCAAATTCTCGCGCAATTGCTATGTCAAACCATTATCCAAGCATAGTTTTTCACGGGAAAATCTTGCGCAATTGATATGTCAAAGTAGATCCGAGCATAGTCTTTCACATCAAATTCTCCCGCCATTTCTGTCAATTTATTTCCGAGCATAGTTTTTTCACGTCAAATTCCTGCGTCTTTGCTCTGCCAATCTATATCCAAGCATAGTTTTTTCACATCAAATTCTCGAGCCATTTCTGTCAATCTATTTCCGAGCATAGTTTATTTCACATCAAATTCTCGTTCCATTGCTATGTCAGTCACTCAGTATCCCAGCATAATTTTTCCTTTTCACGTAAAAATTGTCGTGTTTTTGTTTTTGAAAATGAGTATTGATTACCATACGCTGTTTCAAACCTTTATTTGATAAAGTAGAAAATTCAAGTTAAAATGTTGGATAAAAATACTACGTAACACAATTAACACGAATGCAATATAGTTGCACTTTGCAAATTATTTTATATAATATGATAATAATAACAATGTTAATTGCAATATTAATAATGATATAATAACAAAGATAACAATATTAATTAATATTGATAATGATAATAATAATAATAACAAAATAAATATTCATAGTAATGATAACAATAATAATAATAGTATAGTATAATAATAATAATAATAATAATAATAATAATAATAATAATAATAATAATAATAATAATAATAATAATAATAATAATAATAATAATAATAATAATAATATCAATAATGATACCTATAATAATATAAATAATCATAATCACATTCACTTTTATTTCTCTTTTCTTAAACTAAAAGACAAAACAGCATATATGAGCCTATTAAGAAAGTCGTTACCACATCAAAAAAAAAAAAAAACACTTAACAATACTGCCTTTTGAGAGTATTGTGGCGTGAGTACAGTGAAGTGACACTATACAGGAGGCAGCTTGAACACGATGCCTCCGCCACCGCAGAGGGTCACTTTGTTCAGCTGAACGTCGGATCTGGGAGAGAAAAGAGGCGTTTGTGGGAATTTCTGGTGTGTGTGGGGGGGAGGGGGGAAGGGGTGGGGGTTGGGTGGGGGGAAAGGGGTGGGGTGGGGGGGAAGGGGGGTGTGGGGGTGTGTGGTGGGTGGGGTGTGTGTGTTTGTGTGTGTGTGTGTGTGTGTGTGTGTGTGTGTGTGTGTGTGTGTGTGTGTGTGTGTGTGTGTGTGGTGTGTGTGTGTGTGTGTGTGTGTGGTGCGTGCGTGCGTGCGTGCGTGCGTGCGTGCGTGGTGCGTGCGTGCGTGGGTAGGTGTATGTGTTGTTTCCCTTTCGTGCGCTCAAATGCACCTGAGCAAGTCCTTAATGAACATAACGTACATACAACCATTTATATTCAATCAACAATACTAAATACGACCACAACGACCACTCACCCTGGCAGAGTGGCTTCGGACGTGTCGGTGACGGAGCGCAACACGACCGTCCCTACCTCAGGAAGGGTCGTACCCTGCTGGAGGTCGACGGTAACTTCGTATTCCGACGTATTAATCACTAACAGGTAACTCGGGGCGCGCCTGTAGCTCCTGTGGGGGAAACGAGCGTATTTTTTTTTAATTATTTTTGATTTATATCTTTATTTTTGTCTTTCTTATTCTTTTTTCTGTTTTTTTTATTATTTTGCTGTTGTTGCTTTGTATTCTAATTTTGTTTTGTTCTTATCATCAATATTATCGTTACTATTGTTGTCAGTCATTATATTCATGATCAATAACATTATGTCCATAAAAGCAATAACAACAATCAACATGACATTATATTTCATTCATCTTACCATTATTTCATTTTTATATGAATCATTCCTATTCTCTCTCTGTCTCTCTGTCTCTCTTCTCTCTCTCTCTCTCTCTCTTCTATCTCCCCTCTCTCTCTCTCTCTCTCTCTCTCTCTCTCTCTCTCTCTCTCTCTCTTCTCTCTCATCTCTTCTCTCTCTCTTCTCTCTCTCTCGTCTCTCCTTCCTTCTCTCGCTCTTCTATTTTAACCGTAACCCTCTACCTCAAAATAGCGCGATGACCTCCTCGTGACCTGGGAAAGCGAGGTCACCCCGAACGAAGGTGACCTCGCGCCGGAGTTCGGACAGTTGCCGGTAGATGTTCAGATGGCTGACCTTGGCTTCGTCTTGGGTCGCTACGTTCGATGACGTTAAATTTGCGTTCACCGGCAGCCAGGTGGCGTTGGCGGTCGAGAAACCTGATGAAGATGATAATGATAATGATGAATGATGATGGTGATAATGGTAGAATGATGATGATGATGATGATTAACTGTGCTATATACTTCATACATAATAATTCTCCACTGCATAGAATTATAAGATTACAAAATACAATATTGATCATAAACTCCACTAATTAATGTATATACTTTTCGTGCATAACAATTTTTTTTTCGTCAGTTGCAAACCTGCATTGAGCCCATTACACCATTGCAGAGAATTATTGCTTATAGAATCACTATCTATTATATATTATTGAATAATATTGCAATGTATATAAACCTTCGTAAACTCCTAAATAAAATTATAAAATCATTAAAATCCTACATTGATCACTTTACCTATTATGTATTAAGTTCGTAACTCCGCTGCATAGAATTTAAAAATCATAAAATCCACTTGATTAAAAATTCTACCACCTATTCTCCATATTTAATGCATAACAGTTCAATCAATTGCAAACTTGCAATGAGCTCGTTACCCCATGGCGTAGAACTCTTAATTACAAAAATTAATATCATGTTCTCTCTATATATATCATGCATTATGATTTCCGTCACTATATTGCACAGGAGTTCTTCGATATAAAATCCACTTCTCATCTTATTCATACATAAAAAAAAATCTTTTCAGTTGTAAAACTTTCCATTTAGCTCGCCATTCCATTTCTTATGATTACAAAACTGTAAAGTATCATAAAATTATGAAATTATAAAATCACATCAATTATAAGTGTTACCTCCTAATTAATCACAATCAATGCATAACTTTTTTTCAGCAACTGCAAACTTGCATTAAGCATATATTCATTCTATATATTTCATACATCATAATTTCTGTCAAAAGATTTCTTATTTATAAAACCAGTTCCCTTTTCAATATATTTCATGCTTTAAAATTTCTGTCATAGTTCTTGTTCATAAAGCCAGTTCCCTTTTCAATATATTTCATGCTTTTCTGCCATAAATTTTGTTCATTAAAGCCAGTTCCCCTGCTCAATATATTCCTAATATCTGTCATAGGAGTTCTTGTCCATAAAGCCAGTTCCCTATTCAATATATTTCATGATTTAAATTTTCTCTCATAGTTCTTGTTATTTTAGCCCAGTTCCCTTTTCAATATATTTTATGCTTTAAAATTTTGTCATAGTTTTTGTTCGTTAAAAGCCAGTTCCTTTTTTTTTTCAATCTATTCATGCTTTAAAAATTTTCTGTCATTTCTTGTTAAAGCCAGTTCCCTTCAATATATTTCTGCTTAAAATTTCTTCTGTCATAGTTCTTGTTCATAAAACCAGTTCCCTTTTTCAATATATTCCATGCTTTAAAATTTCTCTCATAGTTTCTTGTTCGATTAAAGCCAGTTCCCTTTTCAATATATTTCATGCTTTAAAATTTCTGTCATAGTTCTTGTTCATAAAGCCAGTTCCCTTTTCAATATATTCCATGCTTTAAAATTTCTCTCATAGTTCTTTCGCTAAGCCAGTTCCCTTTTCAATCTATTTCATGCTTTAAAATTCAGTTCTTGTCATAAAGCCAGTTCCCCTTTTCAATTATATTCATGGTTTAAAATTTCTCTCTAGTTCTTTGTTCATAAAGCCAGTTCCCTGTTCAATATATTCCTAATATCTCTGTCATGGAGTTCTTGTTCATAAAGCCAGTTCCCTTTTCAATATATTTCATGCTTTAAAATTTCTGTCATAGTTCTTGTTCATAAAGCCAGTTCCCTGATATATTTCATGCATAAAAATTCACGTCAATTGCAAACCTGCATTAGGCTCGTCACCCCCTCTGCTGCATTGGTCCTCGCAGGATCCCTCGAGAAGTCTTGGTATCTCTCGGGACCGAAGTTGAGTCCTCGGGGGTCCTGCGTGTCCTCCCATGAGATGAAGTTGTCCTCCATCCCTTAAAATTTAAGGGTAACTTTAGGGTATGTCACCTTAATTAAGGTTTTGGGTTAAAAATATAAGAAGAGGATGTTGAATGAGGTTGTAAGAACTTAACATACGAACATTAACACGAACACCACTCAAAAAAAATACATAATATATATAAAATAATAATAATAATAATAATAATAATAAATATATAATATATAATAATAATAAATAATAATAATAATAATAATAAAAAATAAATACCGATACCGATTTCCTCGCCATAATATGTGACAGGTGTTCCCGGCAGAAGCAAAATCAGCATATTTAGAGCATCCACAAGGTCGCTGCCCAGACGAGAAGCGACGCGGCCGTTGTCATGGTTACCGATCTGTTTTTTACATTTGAAAGTGATTTAGTTTACATCTGAAAGAAAGGACGTGATTGGTGTTTACATTTGAAAGAAAGGACGTGATTGGTTAGTTTACGTCTGAGAGAAAGGACATGATTGGTTAGTTCGTATACATTTGAAAGAAAGGCCGTGATTGGTCATTTTCACTTGGTTTGAAAGGAAATTTGTGATTGAGAGCTGAGGTCGCGTTAAATCTATTTTTCTGACACTATTTTTTTTTCTACACAGAAATGAATGAAAAGGGTGAATTAAATTATTAAAAGGAAAAGTTACAACAATGTATCAGGAAAATCTTTAAAATTACTATTATTTCTTATTCCAACATTCTACTCCCCCGAAAAAAAGAAATAATAAGAAAATAAATAAATAGATAACACAATAACAAAAACACAACAAAAACATCAATAACACAATGGCAAAAAAAAAATCACATAATAAAAAAAAAAACACAAAAAAAAAAATCAAACAACAACAACAAAATACAACAACAACAACAACAACTTACCACCCAATTCGGCCACTTTCCCTCCGGCATATTGGTCATCCACTCGTCAATGACAGCCATGACACTCTCTCCTGTGAAGTTGTCACGACCCTGGAAGCTGTCAAGGAGTTGGAAGTTGAAGGGGAAGTCAGCCAAGGGATGGGTCTCGTTGCCGTAGTATTTCATGGTCTCGTTGATGTCAGCGTAGACTTCAACCATCAGGAATCTGTTGGTAAGTAGTTGGGTGGTTGAGGTTGAGATGGGGGGGTAGGGGGGTAGGGGGAATAAGTAGTGGTTCGGGTCGAATTATTTATTTATTTATTTATTTACCTATCTTTCTTGTTTTATGTTGTTCCTTTTTATTTATTTATTTATCATTTATTTATTTATTTATTTATCTTTTTGTTTTATGTTCCTTTTTGTGTTATTTATTTAGTTATTTGATGTTTGTTTTGGTAGACTTCAACCATCAGGAATCTGTTGGTAAGTGGTTGGGTGGTTGAGGTTGAGATGGGGTAGGGGGGGGGTAGGGGGAGTGGTTCGGGTCGAATTATTTATTTATTATTGTTTATTTACCTATCTTTCTTGTTTTATGTTGTTCCTTTTTATTTATTTATTTATCATTTATTTATTTATTTATTTATCTTTTTTGTTTTATGTTGTTCCTTTTTGTGTTATTTATTTAGTTATTTGAAATTTGTTTTGGTAGACTTCAACCATCAGGAATCTGTTGGTAGGTAGTTGGGTGGTTGAGGTTGAGATGGGAGGGTAGGGGGGTAGGGGGAGTGGTTCGGGTCGAATTATTTATTTATTTATTTGTCTTTTTTATTTTATGTTATTTATTTTGTTATTTGTTATTTGTTTTAGATTTAATGTTTTGATCTGTTTATTTGCTGTGTTGCTTCTTCCTAGTACGCATCAAAAAGACTAAACTATTCGAAACCAAATAATTTACTGAATTAAGTTATCGAAGTGATACGGGAGAGGAACAGATGATATATATATATATAGATAGATAGATAGATAGATAGATAGATAGATAGATAGATAGATAGATAGATAGATAGATAGATATAGATAGATAGATAGATAGATAGATATATATAATCAGTAACACATACGTCCAGACACATACACGAACACAACCAAATTTACTTATAAACAATAAACAACTTAGAGAAAAAAAGAAAATACAACATCCTCAGCCTGCAACATACAACATACCTATCCTCATACTCGTCCACCAGCTCCCTCCACTCAGCCAGGGCCTCGAAGGTCTCGGGCTGGTCCACGGTGAGAGTGTGGGCCAGGGACTCGTACTGAAGGGGATCCTCGACGTTGGAATCCTGCGCAGGGGGCTCGTCCTCGTACACGTTCCGCGCCTCGAACAGGAACTTGAGGGCGTCCACGCGGAAGCCGTCGACGCCCTGTCGAGCCAGAAACGCAACGCATCCTGGAGGAGGGGAGGACGGGGGGGGGGGGGGTGAGAGGGTTAAAGATGTGCGTTGGGCGGGTGATTTTTTTTTTTTTTTTTTTTTTTTTTTTTTGAAGGTGTGATGAGCTGTGTGTGTGTGTGTGTGTGTGTGTGTGTGTGTGTGTGTGTGTGGTGTGTGTGTGTGTGTGTGTGTGTGTGTGTGTGTGTGGCGTCACTGCAGGTCGAATGACTTGTTTAGTGCGTATTTCATAACAGGTTCTAGTTTTCTCCATCTCCCTCACTCTTTTGTTGCTTGTCTTTCCTCTCTCTTCTCTCTCTCTTCTCTTTTGTCCTACCCTCTCTCATCCCTTCTCTCCCTGTTTCTCTTTACCTCCATCTCACACCTTCCCTTCTTCCCCCTTCCCTACCCCCACCATACTCTCCCACTCCCCTCCCTCATCTCTCCAATCCCTTCCTCTTCTCCCACTCTCCTCCTCCTCCTCCCTCTAAACCTCCCTCCTCCCCACTCCACCAAACCCCTCTTTCCTTCCCTCTCCTTCTCCTCCTCTCCCTCCCTTTACTCCTCCTTCCCCCTTCTTTCCTCCTCTACCCACCAATTCCCTCACTTCCCTCCCTCTCATCACACCCTCCCTCCTCTCCTCCCCCACCCACAACCCCTCCCACTCCCTCCTCTCCCTCCCCACCAAACCCCACCTCCTCCCCTCTCCTCTCCTCCCTAACCAACACACCAACCCTCCTTCCCCTTCTCCCCTCTATTCACTCCCTTCCTCACCTTTCCTTTTCCTCTCTCTCTTCCTTCCCCCTCCTCCCCCTTACTTCCCCCTTCTCCCTCTCCCTCCCTTCCCCCCACCAAACCCCTCCTCCCTTCCCCTCTCCTTTCCCCCTTCTCCCCTCCCTTTCCCCTTTCTCCCTCTCCCTTTCCCCCCCCTTCCCCCCTCTCCCCCCTTCCCCTTCCCCTTCCCCCCCACCCACCCACCCCTTCCCTCCCTCTTCCTCCCCTCCTTACCTTCATCTCCTCCCTCACAGCTGGGTTGCGGAAGTTGAGGTCAGGCTGCTCGACCAAGAACTGGTGGAGGTAGAACTGCTGCCTCTCCTCCACCCACTCCCAGGCCGACCCCCGGAAGACGCTCAGCTGGAGGAGGAAGGGAGGAAGGTATGATTAGATCCGTATCCGAAAATATCTGGGGATTCCGTATCCGAATATATCTGGGGAATCCGATCGTCATTTTGAATTATTTGTGTTTTTTAAGGTCTCTGAATCGAAAGGAGGTATTTGGTAGGTCTAGATCCTGAATAATTAGTATGCGAATATACAAAAAAAGAAAAAATACATATATTGCATATTCCTGTTCTCTCTCTCTCTCTCTCTCTCTCTCTCTCTCTCTCTCTCTCTTCTCTCTCTCTCTCTCTTCTCTCTCTCTCTCTCCTCCTCTCTCTCTCTCACTCTCTCTCTCTCTCTCTCACTCATTCTTTTTTTTCTTTTTTGATACTAATGAAAAAAAATCCAAAAAATGTCCACAAAATCACAAAAAGTGAAAGAAATATTTCAAAATCCTATAAAGAGATCTTAACCAACAAAACCAATTAATTTAAAAATGAATAAAATGAATGAATAAAACCAAATCCTAGACGTCCTAAATCCAAATGCAAAAACGAGGGAAAAAATCCCCCCCCAATGATCTCATTAAATCTGAAAAAAACGTTAAAAATCATCCCCCCCCAAAAAAAATGATCTCAATAAGTTTGAGAAAACGGCAAAAAAACGTTAAAAAATGCCCCCCAAAAAAATAATAAAATCTTTTCAAAAACGTAAAAAAACGTTTTAAAAAATTCCCCTCCACAAAAAAATAATCTCAATAAATCTGAAAAAAACGTCAAAAAACGTCAAACCCCCCCCCAAAAAAAACTCAAATATCCCCAAAAATCCCAAAAAAACGTTTATAAAACGAGACCCACCCAATTGCTCGGCGGAATAGGATCCCCCGTGACGCTGTATCCTGCAGGTTCTTCCCACACGTAGTAATGGGTGTAAGGATCCTCCCGACGAACCGACTTCAGGAACCACTCGTGTTGGTCGCTCGTGTGGTTCGGAATGAAGTCCAGAATCACCTTTAGGCCTAGAGAAAGAAATAAAAAAAAAAAAGTTGGGGGTCTGCAGGTCTTGATAAAAGCATCTTATATCACTAATACATAATATCAATATTTTTTCCTGGCTTTATTTATGTTTAATTTTGTTTCATGGTTTTATCTCTAGTTCCTTTATGTAATTAATTTATTTGTCGTTTACTACCTTCCTACTTTCCTCTCTCCCTACCCTCCCTCCTTTCCCCTTCTTTCCCTCCCTCCCTTCCCCCTCCTCTCTCTTTCTTCCCTTCCCCCTTCCCACCCTCCTCTCTCCCCATCCTCCCTTNCCTTCCCCCTCCCTCTCTCATTTCTTCCCTTCCCCCTTCCCACCCTCCCTCTCTCCCCATCCCTCCCTCCCTTTCCCTCTCTCCCTCTCTCCCTTTCCCCCTTCCCTCCTTCCATCACCCCCATCCCTTCCCTTTCCCCCTCCCCCTCTCCCTCCCCTTCCCACCTCCCTCCATCCCCTTCCCTTCCCCCCTCCCTCCATTCCTCCCCCTCCCTTCTCCCCTCCCTCCCCTTCCCTTCCCTCCTATCCCCTCCCTTCCCCTCCCCTCCCCTTCCCCCCTCACCCCCTTCCCCCATCCCCCTCCTCCCCTCACCTTCCCTCCTCCCCCCCTCCCTCCCTTCCTCCCCCTCTCCCCCCCTCCCTTCCCTTCCCCTCCCTCTCTCCTTCCCTCCCTCCCCTTCCCTTCGCCCCAACACCGACCTCTCCGGTGCAGCTCCTCCAGCAGATCGTCGAAGTCCTGGAGGTCGCCGAAGACCGGGTCGATGTCAGTGAAGTTGGACACATCGTACCCGAAGTCAGCCATGGGGGAGGCGAAGACAGGGCTAAGCCACACGGCGCCCACGCCCAGATCGCGCAGGTAGTCCGCCCTCGACGCTATGCCTGTAAGGGTGAAAGTGGAACTGGATGAGATTTGTTTTACGTCGAAGCCGAAGCCAGGGTCACCCGAGGCCAAACGAACGCGGGGCGACGACTACGGCCTCTAGTCATATTCTCGTTGTGTTTCTATCCTTTATTATTGTTCTAATATTCTCTTGTTTTTATCCTTTATTATTGTTCTAATATTCTCGTGTTTCTGTACTTTATTATTGTTATAATATTCTCGTGTGTTTTTATTTTTATTATTGTTTTTTTCACTTTTTATTCTTGTTTATTAGGCGTGTTTGTGTAATTATTCTACTTATTATTACTAATGCGTGTGTGTATGAGGGACTTGTACCGCACACTTGGTTATGTGATATTATTTTACATCTAAGATAAGCGAGTCAATATTATATATATATATTATATATATTATATATATATATATATATATATATTATGTGTGTGTGTGTGTTGTGTGTGTGTGTGTGTGTTGTGTGTGTGTGTGTGTGGTGTGTGTGTGTGTATATATAATATATATATATAATATATATATATATATATATATATATACACACACACACACACACACACACACACACACACACACACAACACATATATATATATATATATATGTGTGTGTGTGTGTAGGCATATATGTATATATGTAAATCTGTCTCTCTCCATCTATATCTCTATCTTCTCTTTCTCTCCATCTATCTCTACCTCCTTTCTTTCCCTATCCTCTCTCTCTATCTATCTATCTATCTGTCACTCTCCTTTAATTCCTAAATGCCCGATATCTTCTCAAAAAAGGTCATATTTTTACAAGGTGAAAAGGGAATCTTTCATAAAGTGTCTTTTTTCTTTTAACAGAAATATTGCCTTTAGTTAAGTCATTAAGGCCACTTGATAATGATTATTACCTTTCTTATTATTTTATTGTGATAATCATATTCATCATTATCATTATCATCATCATTGTTATCGTGATTTTTGTTTATTATCTTTATCATCATCATTATTGCTATTACTATTATCATTATCATTATTATCATTTGCAGTAGCATTATTATCATTACTATTATCATTATTATTATTATTGATGCCGTTATTACTATTATCACGACGATAACAATAACGATAAAAACAAATAAACAATCAATAAATAATGAAAATAAACAAGTAATAAGGAAAACAAACACGATCCCAAACATGAAACAAAAGAACATCACCAAAATTTTTAAAAAAGGATCGAAACCGCTTCGGATCGGGATTCACTCACCTATAAGGTCCCCGACGCCGGATCCTGTCGAGTCCATGAAGGATCTTGGATAAACCTGATACACGATGGATGTCTTCCACCACGGTAACTCCTCCAGATCTTCTTCTTCTTCTTCTTCTTCTATTTCTTCTTCTTCTTCTATTCTTCCACTTCTTCTTCTTCTATTTCTTCCACTT